ACTTGTGATTTGAGATTACTTCACTCTTTTCTTTCTTCTTTCTAGATTTCTTGTGAGGAGATCTATCAAGGAGATCGGGTTCTCTACCCACACTAGGAGAGTGTGAAAGGACGAAGGGTTCTCTACCCACACTAGGAGAGTGTGAAAGGACGAAGGGTTCTCTGCCCACACTAGGAGAGTGTGAAAGGACGAAGGGTTCTCTACCCACACTAGAAGAGTGTGAAAGGACTGACGGTTCTCTGCCAACACTGGGGATAGTGTAAAAGGACGACGGTTCTCTGCCGCACCGGGTAGTGATGAAAAGAGTGTTTGTAAAGGCTTCTCTGCCTTGCTATGGGTGCAAAAGGAGAGACATTATTGGTATTAGTGCAATACTCAGAGGGTGCCTCTTAAGGTTTGTTTGTGTGTTTTATTTATATGTTTTGTGTGTTTGTTTATTTATTTTGTGTGTTTGATTTTTATTATATTTTAAGCATAATGTCATATTTTCATATCTATATTATGTTGTTATTTTCTTTTATATGTATTTTAATTTTAGGTGATATTGTATCTCTTCTTTTTTAATAATATCAAAGGAGAAGAATATATTATAGTTTATTGTATTTATATTATATTTTTATTTTTTAAATTTTATTTTATGTAGCTTTAAAAATTTATGTCTTAAAAAATGATTTCTCCTATTTTTAATGTTATTCTTTTAGTGAGAGGGAATTTTGAAAAAATATTTCTAGTTTAAAAATTCAACCAATATTATTTATCATTATAAAAAATGGAGAGATTATTGTAACTCAGGCTTCTGTGTTTATGATTTTGATGATAACAAATATTATTGATTACCTCTTCGTTTCTCCTAGTATTTGCAGTACATATTAATTTGTGTATTGAGTAATATTTCAGGTATACCATGCACCGTTCTTTAAAGATTCAGGGCTTAAGATTGGGTAGAATAGGTTATGTTAAATGAGTTTATAATTTCATTTATTTATTTATTTTAATTTCTTGAGTCAAGTCTTGTAATGATGTATGTTATCTTAGTGACCGTGCACACACAAGGGGAGCAAAAATTATTTTAAATATTTTAATTTTTTTATATATCATACTATACGATATAGGTCATACTGTATGATCTGGTATTATAGAAATTAATTAAAAAATTTTATTTCATGAAAAAAATATTTTTGAAAAATAAATAATCGTACAGTATGAACACCACATCGCACTGAACGATTTGTTATAATTAGAAAGCCATATCCATTAAATTAGGAAAAATTTTGAATTTAAAAAGTTCTTATAATCATATTGTATGATTTTTATCATATTGTATGATATTTAAAACTTTGCCTATTTTAATCTTGTGATTAGTTAATCGAAACTATTTTATTTTGATATTCTAATCGTACTGTATAAACTGGATCATACAATCAATAGAGACAATTTTGGTCATCCCATGTTTCGTCCTGGACAAACTATGTTTCAATTGAATTGTTCGTACTGCACTAACTGGTGATCATACAATACAAACAGGTAAATTGAACTATTCATACAGTACGAACTAGTGATCGTATAATACTAACAGGTTAAATTCTACAAATCATACTGGATGATCATGCGATCGTACTGTCCAATCTTTGATAGCTGAAGTTTTTTTTTTTTTTTTTTTTTGAAGCCCTATATTTAAGCTATCCAATAAACCTTTGTAAGAGTCTTTGGAAGCTATTATGTCTTCATTCTTCTAGAGCAAACTTGATGAGAGAACTTGAAAGGGAGAGAGTAAATGGTGGAGTTTGAGAGGGAGAAGATCTTTAAAGGAGATTTCAAGGGAGTGTTGTGGGGATTTCATATGGTTGCTCCGGTGAGCTTGCACTTTAGTACCATCAGATTCAATATTCATCTTAAGGGAACTTTTGGGAAGAAGAAGATCTCTTTTGGTGTCAAAGGACCCAGCTTCTCCACCGCACCAAGAAAGTTAGAAGTTATTTTATAAAGGCTTCTCCACCTAGCTGTGGGGGTTAAATGAGAGTCACTAAAGGTTTAGTGCAATACTCGGAGGGTGCCTCCGATGAGTGGACGTAGGTTAAGGTTTGATCAAACCACTATAAATCTGGTGTGTTCTTTCAGTTATTATTTCTGCACTTTATTTCAGCATTTATTTTTGTTGTGATTAACCACATTGATGAAATTGATTATTTACATTTTTTTGTGAATGTAATTAGCTTCTCATCATGTTATATAGATTTTTATTTTAAATATCCAATTAACCCCCCCCCCCCTCCCTTTTGGCGCATCTCGTACTTTCATGCCGTGATAATCAACATCAAAAGTTGAGTAAAACTTTGAAGTTCTTTAGATCACTAAGGTCTCTCCAAACTTGAGTCTAAGCCCCTTCACGTGGATGATAGGGGTTTATTTATTTATTTGGAGTGATATTTTGATAAACTCAATCAAAGTTTTACAAAATTCCATTGAATGGCCTATATTGAATAATTTAATCATATAAAGTTTATTCACCATTGAAAATTTTACAAACCTCATAATTAAATAATCATGGGCTCTTTGGATTCATCTAATCATGCCACTCACTTTGACCATAAACATACAAAATTTGAAATCATTTGGTCCATCAATCAATGTCATGAAGTTTTCGAATATGTTTAAAATGTTTAATTTGAGTTTATTTGGATTCATGTCGGATCACCTTTGGTGTTATTGGGTTTGTCTTATGTAGATGTTTTGTTTGACTATAAATTTGTCTAGATCAGAGTTTGGATCGATGATCATGAATTTAATTTTTCAAAAAAAAAATTAATATAAATGAAGGCATTGAATTGTGCTAATTAAATAAAATTTCAACTTCCGAGCTTCTAATCTGAAATGATCAAAATGTTCAATAAGCACCAGATTCAATGAATGTAATGTAATAGAAATGAAGAACAAACTCATTAAATATAGTATAATTAACACATAACAAATTTAATGAAATGATTTAAACATTTGGAATCGAATAAATTTGCTAAGATGAATAAGATTAATTAAGATGTTCTGACCAACTTAACAGTTAGCAATTTTCCTAATTAAAGAATATTACAACTAATATAATTAAGCATAATTAGCAAATTTAATGAATATAATATAAAACTAAAGTCCAATTAAAATGTGCCAAAATATAAGCGAGCAATATCATAAGTATGACTAATTTTTATGCTCATGATCATTAAAAATAAAATAAAATAATTAATAATAAACAAAATCATTAATCAAATCAACAGAAAATAATATTAAATAAGTATTTAAAAACAAGGAAATATATTTTTGGAATGTTTAAAAGATATTATGAATAAAATAACTAAATTTAAATTTTCATTTAATTTATTTTACAATCATTAGTAAATCTAATTTAATTAGTTTTCATTGAAGTAATCTTGATGGCTAGTTGAAATGTCTGAGAAAAACTATTGACTAAATAATTAAATGATAATATAAAATGTATTATCATTAAATCAAACATAAATAACATGCTCATAAGATCAGAGAGAGTAAGAGAGACGCAGCCCATATTAACTTATTGATTATGAGTTTAAGGCTTAGTATGAGGCAACTTTCTCATTACTTTTTAAAATAATTTTTTAATACAAAATTTTATAATTCAAAAAAAAATTAACTAAAATGCTATTTTAAAAAGCATTAAGAAAGCTGTTCTAAACAAAACCTAAATTTTCAATCAAGAGTTTTCAAATTTGGTACCTTTGTTATTTTATTTACAATTGAATTCTCCTAAGATGAGATGAGAGAGAGAGAGAGAGAGAGAGAGAGAGAGTCAAGTCGACTCGTAAACCAACTTGGGCTTGGCTCAATAAATGGCTCGTGAGCCAAGCTTGAGTTAGCCCTGACTAGACTCGTAAAGCTCGTGAGCCAGCATGTTTAAAAAATACTAATATAAAATATATTTAAATTTTATATCACAATTTTTTATGTTAAGTAACTCTTAATTATTATGTTTCTTATAATATCATTCTTTTTATCATTTTATTATTGTCATTGTTTAAATCATAATAACTTTCTATTTTTAGTAACAAACAAGCAGGCTCATAAGCTAGATTGAACTTATAGAATAAAGCTCAAGCTCAAGCTCGAACTCGTTTACACCTTATGCACAAGAAATGTAGTGATAAGAGAATAAGCGCATTAGGCTTGAAAAAAATCCTAAAATCTTTAAACTGCCACTCATATTCTGTTTTAACTAATTCTCAGCCACCAACTAGTTTACAATTTTCTATTCAAAATTTTCAAAATATATAAGAATTTTCAATTTTAAAATGATAGATCCCAGTTGCAGTCGCTTTTTTTTCATAAAATAAAATGCTGACAGGCTATTAAAAGGAACCTGAAATGAAAAAGTAATAGAGAATCGAAATTCATGTAATAATAATAATAATAAAATAGAAGAAAAAGAATATGAGAATAATAAAAAAAAAAATATTTATTCAGTAATTAAATTTCTCAAAGACATTCTATAAGTAGTTAACATTCTGACATTCAGCATCAATTTGTTGCATTACAAGCAAGTTAATTTTTAGATTCCAATTTTAATTTAAAACATTTATATATCACATTTGTAAACAAATGTAATATAATCACTTCCAAACACATTTATAATAAAATTTTATTTGAAAGAATTTAAATTTTCCTATGTTTATTTTTTTTTAAAAAAAAAGCAAATTTCTAAACTATAGTTTCAAGAAAAAAATTTAAAAATATTTTCTTTAAGTCAAAATTTTAAAATAACAGCAAAAAAACTTTTTAAAATATACTATTTTCCATACCATGAAAACAGTCGGAAAAAAAAATGCTCCAAATAAATCCTAATAAAACAAATTAAGCCCTACATTGAGAAATTATTAGGTGCATGACAGGTGCACTGCACAAGGATATATATATCACCCGGGTACAAATCACCTAATTGTACCCAAATTAGGTGTGTAAAAATGCATATTTTTTGGGCATTTAGATCAATTAAGATAAACTCACACACATCACATACATCAGACTCAGACCCAACGCCTTTTGATTGATAGCTAAAGCTCCCAACCGACAGATCAAACTGAGCTCCATTACAAATGCATATTTAGTGTAAAATGTATGCCTCAAATACACAAAATGAATGCATAATACACAATAATATCCCTTACAAGACAGGCATGTCCTGATCCTGCGAACTGAAGCAGATGGAAGTACGTACTTGCAGACTAAACATTAGCAGACCAGCAGAATTTCATTCAAAAATAATCCCGCTCAGATCCACAAAGCCCTGAGGAACATCCAGATTGCAGTTGGATGAAATGGATATGATGAAGAACAGACAGCAATCAAAAACAGATTGACATTGCAGGTGGCAGAAATGCAAGTCTGATGGTTTTGTTTTCTCTCGCTCATGAGAAGATGGCATTGACAAATGCCTCCGCATCGAATGGTTGAAGATCATCAACGCCTTCGCCAACCCCGATAAATTTGACGGGGATTCCGAGCTCATCAACTACGCTGACCTGCAAATTGAAGAGTTCGTGTCGGTAAATTAGAAGGAGAAATAAGCTCAAGCGGGCTGACCAAGTATTCTGCTATGTATGGTTCAGTAAAATAAAGATTAAAAAAATAATGCTCTCTATAGATTAAAGAGACCAACTCCGTATTATTAATTTAGATCATGTTTGGCTTGTTTTGCATAAATCTGCTTTCCGTTATATTATATTTCCTTTTATTCTTATTTGCACCACTGAATATAGAAATTATCTATATTTAACATAAAATAATATTTTCTCCATTATTACTCTCGATATGACTTCAGAAAATCCACTTGATCAATATAAATCTCGAGATTATATTTAAATTGAAAACTTCTAAAATTAAATTCAATATCATCTAAACTCTAATTTCAACAAGCTTGGTCAAATTTATCAAAGCATCCTCTCTCAAAAAAAATTATAAATTATTTTCTACATGAAGGGTTTTGGGAGCTATTTCTTCAATGATCATCATTGACCACCATCAATAATCGTCACCACCATTATCTAACTTTAATCATCTAAATATTGTCGCTTAACTACTAACCTCTAACACCGTTATTACACTCCAACTATCAACCTGTGAACACCTGACTCAGTAATCCCTACAACTATTCTAAGTTGTGTAATATTATCTTCTTCAAAAAGAGCAAATTTTTGCATCTATAGCTATATATTGTACTATTGTAATTGACTTTGGATTTTCACATAAAAAGTTTCTCTTGTACCTTTTATCTGAATAAATATAGAATAGTTTTTTTTTTTTTTTTTAATATAGAATAGTTGTATAACCTAAAATATCAAATATTCTATGGCTAAAAATTTTCAAATATGTAACAATTTGATGTCATCTGTGAGAATCTTTCTTACCATATTACAAGCCCTTCTCCATTGACTAACAACCAATCTCTAAATCAAAAATACCATAATATAGTTGATGAAGGTTACCCATACTTAACTTTGATGGATTGCATATGCAGGACGAAGGAACTTCAAGCCAATATTCAACTTTTAGAGGTGGCGAGACAACAATTAGCACTATCACAACAAAATGGAGTTCTCCAACCATAAAATCAGGAGTGCCTACTCATCACCATGCTATAGCTCAACAATAACCATATCCTTCCCGTGCTGCTCAACTATAGGAAACACTTCTATATCCCAATTATTTCCTATCAATCTTCAGAAAACAGCGAGAGTTCTCCACAAAAATCTGCAGAAAATCACAAAAACAGTAGATAATTTGTATTTTTTATGAAAGGGAAATGGGAAATAGCAAGATACAATTGATCCTCTCTATTCGAGAGGATAAATCTCTCCCAAATCTCTAGACAGCACTACAGCCCAAAGAAAACCTAAATCTAAGAGATCTCAAATTTCAGCCAAATTCAAGATGTCCTAAACCTAGGAAAACAAAGTATTAATTGCATATAAATCAAAAGGAAATTCCTAAACAGTCCCTACATTCAAATTTCCCTCTTAATTCTCCCAAAAATCTTTCCTATTCGGCTCCCGCAAAGCTTGCAGTTCGTGCGGCTAGAGCAGGAGGAAGAGATGTTATGCCTCGTTCACGCCTGTGTCAGTCCCGCGTGGACCGACTAGACCGGTCCAATTGACGGGTCTCATAATACCCCCCTCCCAAAGATCCACCTTGTCCTCAAGGTGGAGATATGCTTATGTTCCCACAGAGGTGGTCATCCTTAAGGTGACTGAAAATCCTTACCAAATTGCTGAATCAAGGGTGGTTGTACTGAAAAAGAAACATCCCCTCCTTCCACCATCCTGCATCCTGATCACATCCAACTTGTGCAGTCCCACCATATAATCTTCCCTCACCTCTTGTAGGCTCCTAAATGGTCTTAAGTGATACCATGGCTTTGGATAGTCCTACATCTCCCCTTATAACCACCTTTCTCCCATCAACCATTAATTTCATCATGAGTGCTCCCCAATTGTCCTTAGTTTACCCCAAGGTTTGCAACCACTTCATCCCCAGGATGACATCAATACTTTCTAACTCTAGTGGGAGAAAATCCTCCCTTACCTGAATCCCCTGGATGGTCAACACCACTCTACAAATCTCCTGACCTTTCTCCACCTTCCTTGTACCCATCATCACCCCATAATAATCGGTGTCCACCAATTTCACTCTCAGTTGGTTGATGACCTGAGTGGAAATGAAATTATAGGTAGCCTCACTGTCAATCAATACAACCACCTCCATGCCTGCCATTTCCCCCTTCACCTTCATCGTATAATTCAAAGTGAATTGTACTACTGAATTCAGTGAGATCTCCGCCACATCCAGATGCAACTTATCATCCATCTCTCTCTCTCACCTACCTCCTCAGTTTCCTCATCATCACAGATAGTGAGAAGCTGAAGAGTTCAATCACTACACGTGCCCTGGAATATACTTCTCATCACACCGAAAACATAATCCTTTTGCCCTCTTCTCCTGCGTCTCCTTCTCTGTGAACCTCTTAAAATTTTCTCCACTTCCTCCTACTGGCTTCTCCTGGTGGTCTCATTAATGTTTCTTGATGCAGGCCCCTTGGGTGCTAGAAGAGTGGTCGTCATCCTATAAGAGCCTCCTGAGCTGCTTCTCCTGGCTCCCTTCTCTAGATTCTTCTAATTTTCCACCATATGTGCCAACTTCATGGCATCCCCCAAATCACGAGGCATCAGAACCTTCATTGTTGCTCGGATCTCATTCTTCAACCCCTTCATGAAATTTTCCGCCAGTACAGTATCTGATGATCGCTCCGCCCTACTGGCCAGGTGCTCAAACCGCTCCCGATAGTCTGCTACTGATCCCTCCTGTGTCAGAGCAAAGAACTGCTCATAAAAATCTCCTCCTCGATAGGTTTGGAAATGTTCTATTATGCAGTCCTTGAATTCCCTCCAGTTCCTGATAGGCCTCCTCTGGTCTCTCCACTAGTGCCATGACAAAGTCTTCCCTTCCAAGCACAAGCCTATTGTTGTCAGCTTCTACTCCTTCGTCTGCTCATTCCACCTAATAAATCCACCCATAAGCATCCTCCCCTTCAAAAATGGACATCTTCAACTTTCTCACCTTCTGATCTCCATCATTCCCCCTTTTTCTTCCATAACTTCCCCTCTCTCAAATGCTCGGCCCTCCCCACGTCTCCCAGTCTTCCCTTGCCCTGACATAACCCGAACCCCCTTTGAATTCTCCCCTTCTTTCTTCAAAATCAGCATCTCGATGGCCATAGTATCCCTCTTGGTATTCCACATATCCGCATCTTCTTTCTTCATTCTGGACAGGCTCCAGATGGGGCCTTCTTCTTTCTCCTTCCATGATTTCCATCTCATCTTCCTCCCTACAGATTTCAGAATTCATGCTTTTCCCTTCCACCCCTTTTGCCACGGAAGTCGTCGTTTGGTTGCGGATTTCCAACATTTTCTTCATCATGTCCCGGAGATCGGCTTATTCTTCCAAGGAGGAAATCCTTTCCTCCACCGTCATCTTGTTTTGATTCATCTCCCCTTCAAGTCTTTCTTCAAACACATCTACTTTCTTGACCACTATCTTGATCCGGATTTTGTAGATCAAAAAATTTTTTATTTGGATTATAAAAACAACAACTTTCTCCTTTCACGGCCAAAAATCAGTCGACGGAATTGGCCCAAATCAGCCCCCAAACGGTCCCAAGACTTGCACTAATACCAATTTGATAAGAAACACTTATAGATCTCAAGTATTTCCTATCAATCTTCGGAAAACAGCGAGAATTCTCCACAAAAATCCACGCAAAATCACAAAAATAGTAGATAATTTGTATCTTTTTAATGAAAGGGAAACGGAAAATAGCAAGATGTAATTGATCCTCTATTCGATAGGAGGATCGATCTCTCCCAAATCTCTAGACGTCACTAGAGCCCAAAGAAAACCTAAATCTAAGAGATCTCAAATTTCAGCCAAATTCAAAATGTCCTAACCCTAAGAAAACAAAGTATTTAATGCATACAAATTAAAGGGAAATCTCTAAACAGTCCCTACATTCAAATTTCCCTCTTAATTCCCCAAAAATCTTTCCTATTTGGCTCCCGCAAAGCTTGCAGTTCGCGCGGCTAGAGCAGGAGGCAGAGATGTTCTGCCTCGTTTGCGCCTAGGTCGGTCCCGCGTGGACCAGTTGGACAGATCTAACACTCAACTGACTAGTAATCTTCCGATAGCCTTAAAGGACTTAAATTGAATCTCGCCATATTTACGCCTCTCATGATTTTATAAAAGATGAGTTTCAATGTCATGTTCAAAAGTATCTTATTTTGAGAGAAAAAAAAAATTAAATCCTCACATCTCTACAGAGTTTTCACCACTGACTAAAACAATTCTCCTACATCATATTCAAATATAGTTTAAGTTGCTTGTAATTAATCCATACGATGAAACTTCTAACTCCTAGGAGCATATTGATCACTATAAAATCATCATGCATATTCAACAAACCTTTATCATAATCTTCTATTAGGTCTTTCTCACAACTCTTAAGAATAAACTCACATCTAATTCTATTCTCTTCCTAATAGAATTATTCATACTTTTAATGATCTAGTCAAATATTTCATCAAATAATTTATGTTCAATCAAAAAACCATTGACTCCTATAATATTTTAGAAATTTGTCAAAATGAGAGTGAGATCCTTAAAAAATATTTTAAATGCTTTTTTCCAAAGCTCATCAATTTTGAAGAATAAATATATAATTACTGCGAGATGTCTTTCTTAGAGGTCTTTACTCTAAACCATTCTACTCATTGATGCGAGAGATAATCCGCTCTTACATTGATCTTCTTCATCAAATAGAATCACGAATAACTTGACTTCTTAAAATTTATAAATAACTTATATCTGAACTCTAGGAAATAGAGATATATCCTACAAGTAAAAATTTATTTAAATATCAATTAAATCTTTCTTTTTTTTTAAGAACAATACTTCTAACAAAAACCACTACAAGGCATACTTATGAGGCAACTTTGATGGAAAGTTAATAGTGGACAGGGTCATCACTAAAAGACTCCATGAGAGCAAGTAACAGATAAGGTCTCCACTCAAAACTCATGTTAAGCACACCTATGAAGTAACATCGAGTAACCTCGATGGGAAGATAGTAATGGACATAATCCTCACAAAATTCCATGAGAGCAAATGGTTAGCATAATCTACACTTAGCCAAAATAACTTATAAGGCTATACGCCTAATAAAATATAGGTTTCACCGATTCTCCAAAAACCTCAAAGGAGAAAATTCCCAAAAGGTTTTTCTTTGATTCTTTAAAATTTCAAAATGCTAAATGCATCAAAAGATACAATTTTTTTCAACTCTCAAAACCCTTAAAAAGCTAAAAACTTCATAAAGTATTAGTTTCTTTAGTTTTCCAAAAACTTCAAAAGGCTATAAGTTATAAAAGGTGTAGGTTTCTCTAATTTTTTAAAAAACTCAAAAGACAAAATCTCATTAAATATATATTTCTTTGATTCTCCAAAAATCTCAAAAAGCTAAAAGATTTAGAAGGTACATTTCTTTATTTATGAAAAAATAATATCTTAAAATCCTAAAAGCCTCAAAAGATACAAAATTTTCAATGCAAAAAAAATCTTAGAAGGCTAAAAGACTCAAGCATTAGAAGGTATATATTTATCAAAATAACTCAAAAAATACAAACCCCATAAGGTCCTAAAAAATTAATCTCAATATTTTACAAGTGAGTAATATCTTATTACTAACAAAAAGATTCAACTATTATTTTATTAGTGAAGTATGTCTCAATGATATATAAAAGACAAATCTCTTCTAGGAGCAAGTTTTTATAAATTTGAAATGTTCTTGCACGAAGATGAAGACTTCATTATTTTTTACAAATTGATTATAAACATCATTAACACTTGAAATAAACATTTCAAAGCCATATACAAAACTTGAATTCACATAATGCTAAAACACAATCTTCTACAATATACTCCAAACTCCTACATGAACTCCAACAAGCACTCTCTTCCCACTTGAAGCTAGGAGCAACGATGCAAATTTTATCTCATCGTTAACACATCTCAAATGATTCTAATAGCTTTAACCCTAACGCTACTACTTGGTATAACCAATATTTGCATCAAATGTTATTATCAAACTGAAAGTCAAATTATATGAAGAGTGCTTTCTTAAAAATCATTTTCGTTTATCACTACTGAATCAACCCATATATTTTACATAAGTTATTTCAAATTTTAATAATAATTACTTCCCCACTGGAGAGAAAATTCGAAATAGGTTGAAATTTTATTTTTCAGATCCAGCCATTTCAAACAGACATAATCAAACCCCTCCGAGAAGAAAACTAAAGCTCCACCACAAAGACTAAGAACCTTGAATTTCAATCGCAACTCTGCCTGTAGGTTATTTAGTACTCCTGCTAAAGAAAGCATCAAAGTTTCTTAAGGGAGAATGTTTCTCCCATACAAGGTAACATCAAATCTCCCTTAAAAAGTTTGAACCAAAACCTACAAATAAAGTATTGATATATCTAAATTTTTTCCATAACTATAAAGAACAATTCCTTGAGCACTAAAGCATATCAAATGGATACACCACCTACTTAGGATAGTATTTTACTGAAGCATAGTTGGGGATTTACGCACTGCCTATATAAAATAGTGGAAAACTTCTCTTAAGAAAAAAAAATCAGAACCTATAAGACGAGGAGAATTGAATTTCCCACCCCCTGAAGAGGAATGATTGGAAGTTATAAATTAGTGATTTCAAAAAATGAAGGAAAAAAAAAAGAACAAAAAAAAATTTAAAAAGAGGAAAACTCTGTCAAAAAATAAGAGAGAAAATTCACCTAAATCTATATACAAAAGACTATTGACAGGTGCGAGTTGAGCCAAGTGGCACTGGCTGGGGCCAGCACCGCCTCCTAACCTAGTTCAATCAAGCCTGTATTCAAGCCCAAAAAAATCATTTCAAGTGTTTTTGGATCACCAAAATTATTTTTCAGCATCCTAAGATCAATTTTTTCATTTTTAGAGCCCAACAAAATCTCAACGATCAATTTCAAACAAATTTAAAGAATAAAGAACAAACTTTCTAACAATTTTCACTCCAATCAATGTGACAACTTCATAGAAAGCTAAATTTATAATTAAAGAGTTTTTACTAGATACACAAACCCCGATATAAGGTCAACGTTGCATCTAAGGAGCAATCACGCCTTGTAATTATTCCAAAATTATAATATTGAATTGTAAATTTTTTCAAATGCTTAATATATATTTTCAAATAATATAATATTTGGCATTCTAAAACAAGGAAACAAATGATGTCACTCGAAAATTCAATTAATTAGAATAATCTCAAGACAATATTTGAAATGGAAACTTTTAAAATTAAATTCATAACCATCTGAACTCTAATTTCAACAAGCTTATAATCAAATTATACATCTCAACTAAACAAACCCATCAATATTGTAAGTGACCCAATATGATTCTAAATGAAATCAAACCAAGCACATGAAACATAATTTAAACCTTTGGGACACTAATTGGAGAACCAAACAATCTCCAAATATTATGTTATTGTAATCAAATCAAGAAAATCAATAAAACAAATCCATCGAACTCAAAATCATTCAATTATGATATCATTAGGGTACTCAAATGCTCTAAATAAAAATATATAATCAAGGAGATTAATATGAGTCTTTCAATGGAGTGTTTTAGATTCTACCAAAATTTACTAAAGCACCCATCTACAAAAAAGCTATAAAAAAGACTCTATTTTGTACGCCAAAGGGGTTCAGGAGCTGGGAGAGCTGAATAACTCTATAGAATTTTCTAGTGATCATCATCAATGACAACCATCAACAATCGCCACCACCATGGCCTAACGCTTGTTGTCCAACTATTATCATCTGACTACTAACATCCAGCCACATTATTAGACTTCAACTGTTAGCCAGTGGACACTCGACTTATGTAATACTTAAACCAGGGATCAGGCAATTGTTCTCAATTATGTACTCCTATCTTCTTCAATTATGGAGAAAGGTATATTCTTATATCTATAACTATATAGTGGATTATTACAACTAGACAAGGCACCATAATTTTTTCAACTTTTTATGTTTTCCACACCAAAATTGTCATTCTTGCAACTTCTATCTGTATGCATGTTGAATATTTGTATAATTTAAAATATTAAACACTTTCTTGCCATAAATTTTATAGCACATAACTGTATTAAATAAATAATTATTATAATCAATTCTTTTTCAAGTGTTATATATCTAAGATAAAAATCATAATCACTAATAAATTATTCTTAAGTTAATCAACATTATAAATAATTAAAATATATTTAATTAGTGAAAATTAAATTAAATTAAATTTTTAAATCATTTTATCTTAATTAAAATTGTAATAAATTCATGATTAAGAATAATAAATACTTTGTCAAAATTTAAATGCTTAATTTTTTTACAATTTAACTATATGATGCAATCTAAGGATAAACTTTGGTCTAGGAATGCAAATAAAAACAAACTTCCTTTTTCATTCACATAAACCTTAAATAATGCAAACAAACACAACAATAAAACAGTACCAATACTACTTACAGCTTATATTAGAACAAAGACACAACACAACTTCCAACTTATAATAAAACAAGACACGACACAACTTAAAACTTACAATAGTTTTAGAGAAGAAAAATAAAGGTGGAACGAAAATCGCGAAGAGATTAATGGATAGAAGTCCAAGATGAAATATAAGATTGATAGGGAGAACAAGCTAGCTCGCAAGCTAGAAAAAAACCCGCAGGTTTTGAATTATCACATTTCAAAAATTCTTCAAAGTCTCCTTTTTCACAAAGGAAATCAATCACTATTTATAGGAGAAATAAGGGGAGAAATTGTATTAAATAGACCACATAAATGTGCCATCAAAATAGTCAATAGAAACCTTTCAAGACAGCCCTCATAATATGAAACTAATGCACTTAGCATAGGAAATCAGCAAGGGGAAAAACGAACAACCAGCAATTAGGAAACTAAACAGCCATAGGGAAAACCGAGAGCCAATAGCAGGAAAACTGAGAGAGCTAGGAAACCGAGGGGCCAACAGGGAAAATGAAGAGTCGAGAGGAAAAACTAAAAAGTCACTAGAGGAAAAAAAAAACTAGAAACACAAGTAAAAAATAAAGAAAACATAAAATGATAACTCTTGACTGCATTACTATATCAAGCAAAATTGCATAATTAAATATTATGGGCCTTTAATGATCTTAATCAAACATTAATTAATTAATAACTAATCTCATAATTCCTTTAGTTATTTAATAATAATTAATATTTTAAACCTTAATATACATTCAAATTGCATGTGGAGGGAGAACATTTTGCAGCAAGAAACTGAAAAATGGAAAAAGAAACGTTGGGCATACCACACAACCACCACGAGCTGAACCATCAAGCTTAGTCAGGATTAAACCAGTAACGCCAACAACCTGTTGAGAAGTTTGGATAAGCTCAAATGATAAAAAAAAATTGCGGAACGATATGCCAAAATGCAGAGTCCCATCCCAGTCACTGAACAGGAACTTACAGCTAATCTCCACCACAGATCGTAGAGTTCACAAATAGCAGTACTAGAATCTATAATCTAATTCAAAATTGCATTAGTGCTGGGAGTGGTCCTTTCACAAAAAGGTAGAGGAGCCACCTCAAGATGAATTTGCCAGTAGAAAACGTGTTCCCATGGCATTGCAAGTAATCAAGCTGGGCCCAACTTTTCTTGAAAGCTCCAATTTATTCCTATTTATGCTGATGCGAGTGATAACAAGAATCTCTTCAGGAGGCAGTCAATGCAATTGGAAACAGGGGAAACTAAAAAAAGTTGCGGGCTCTGACACCAATTTGCGCTGACTGGGATGTATCGGAATATGCAGAAAACAGGTATTTCGCATGGTAACCAAACTACAAGGGTGCATATGTTGTCAGGCATATCTGATATAGATGGATAAAAGCACAAACCTGAGAACTCGTCGTTTTAGAGTTAATAAGCTGGTTTGCAGAATAAAGTTCATCAAAGTCTTGAGTGTAAAATAATCTAATGTCATTAGGACATAATCACCTCTTGACATAAGCAATGGAGTTAATCCCAATGCTAATAGATCAGTTTGGCTTTGAAGTGGTATAACTTCAAGCTTCATTCATAGCCTGCTCATTGTAGATTTCGACTAAGAAAATGATCAAAATAATTCCTAGATTATTTGTTGGGGTCATTTTAAAGTGTCCAATTTAACCTCTTGATGGCTCAAATATGATATAAAATAGTCCCAAATTAGAATCATTGTCTAATTTGATAGAAATTTCATGTAAAGATCATAGATGAGGCGAGGAATGAGGGTATTTTCAAAAAAGGAGGTTCTTATAATTTTTTATTTATATATATAATACTATCACTCTACACATGCATGATGTGAAACTTTCATCAAATTAAATAACAATCCTAACGATGGGAATTATATTTGAGCAGTCGAGAGGTTATATAGACAATTTAAACAGTCTAGGACTAAAATGCCTCCCCCTAATATATTGTAAAACACTAGATTACATCCTCACACAGAATCAGCAAATACTAGAAGTTTTACATACTCCGAATGATTGAACTGATAACAAAAATTCAATAGCCATAAGAGACCGAATTGTAGGAAAACATAAGCAAGAAAAATATGAGAAAGACTCGGTAGCATTTCAGGTAAGAGGTTTACTTCATTAAACTCTCTAGCCTGTGGTAGCATATTCAAACCAGTTGTCCCATCCAGAACGAGCAAAATCTCCTGTGAATTTCACAATTAGTTTTGATTTGTAAGAACAAAAGCCAAAACCATAAGAATATTTGAATTCTTTTAAACAAAAAATAAATATGTACTAGTCCCTCTAAACATGAATAGTGGATGTTTTATTGAACAGTTGCTACTAGACATGTCCATCCAATTGAAGCAAAAAGATTATGGTTTACAAATTACAATCAATAATCCCCAACGAGTTCTTCAACCAGACCTCCAAACTGAAGGAATAAATCCAGCCATGGTCCCACGTTGCTCATCACATGTCCCTTAATAATCTCACAAGCAAATTATTAGATTATTGATTATCATAGCTAAAATTCTGGATTCTTTAAACTAGTCCAGGTCCCTCTTGTTTTGATCGTCTTACTTGTAGGCCCATGAGCTTTAATCTACAATTTACAGGTCTCCTAAAATATAGCAAAATCAACATTTCGATCATTGGTATGCGACTAATATTTTTATTTATATATATATACTTAAAATATATTTTCAACAAATGATAAAGAATAATAATTACTTGATACATAATTAAAATTTAAAAAAAAAATCTACAAATAAAAATTAACAGTTCATGAGATATAAATCTACGAGTTTATTTTCATTGGAAGCATCATATCAATCAATGATGTAAGCAAAATTTATTTGATTTTATTAGTTGGTTTCCATCAGGGTTGTGTGCTGTTACAATTATTCCTCGGCTGCATCTTCTATTTTTTTTTTCCCGAGTTAGTTGTTGCGTCCCTTATGTTACACTTGAGCATTATACAGGCCAGTTGTTACTATAATTCCTCCTCAATCCTCATATATGGTTCCACTTCTGCGTCATGAATTCCACCTATTTGTTGGAGATTGTATCCGTTGTTGTGATAGGAATATACAGGTTTCCCTCTCTTCCTACCGCAGATGTAAGTTGTGAAATAAAATTAAAATTGATCTTTAAGCCTATATGGAATTGATATGAGAGCAGTCTATAAATAGATAGAGCGGTAATGTAATTAATTAAGAAACATTAATATTAAAATATGTAGCTAATTTAAAATGTTATGAATAAATTTAAAACTTAATCGAGCCATCGGGATCAAATTTATTTTTGTGTGTAATCTAGAGGGAGAGAGATATAGAGATAGAGATGGGGGTGAGTGAGACAATGAGACCGAAAGAGAGCGGGAGATCAAAGAGAGAGAGCGAGTAAGAAAGAGAATGGTAGGCTGATTGAGCAAGGAAGCGAGGGGAAAATGAGGGCATCGTGCCAAGGCAAGGGAAACCATGTGTAGGCCTTAATGGGTTGATTTCAGTGTCAGCTAAGGCGCATTGAGCAAGGAGAGCAAATTGAAAAGGATAAGGAAAGAATTAGTTAAGGTTTTGCAATAATTTTCTATTAAATCAATCCAATGGACCGGTCCAGCCGGCCCTTTAACGGACAGAGACGGAAGAGTTCCACCTCTCACGTACGCACCGACCGAACCGTCATTCCAAGGGAGTTAGGAGGGAAATTTGAATGTATCGATTGTTTAGAAATTTCCTTTTGGACTGTGTGCATTAAATAGTTAGTTTTCCTAGGATTAGGGCATCTTGAATTTGGCTGAATTTGAGATCTCTTGGGATTTTTTGGGGCTCTAGTGGCGTCTAGAGACTTGGATGAGATAGATCCTCCTCTCGAATAGAGGATCAATTGTATCTTGGTATTTTCAATTTTTATTTCATCAAATAATACAAATCATATACTCTTTTCCTGGTTTTGTGTGGATTCCTGCAAAGATTTTTTGCTGTTTTCCAAAGATTGATGCGAAATTCTTAAGATCTTCAAGTGTTTTCTATCAAATTGGTATCAGAGCGGTGTCCGGGCCTGTTTGGGTGGCTGTTTGGGCTGATTCCTGCAGCAGCTTTTCTCATTCGAATAGTTGTTTTTGTTGTTTTTTGTGGTGGAAATCCGAATTTTCGAGTCTAACAAAGATTCGGGGACTTATGGCAAGAAGAAAAGTATAAGTATTGGAAGGGGAGATCGGACAAATGAAATTTGAAATTTCAGATCTTCAAAGTTAAGTTTCAGATTTAAAAAAAGATATTTCAGCCATCCATGATAAATTCGATTTGAAATTTTCCATCCTGGAGAAGATGTTGAAGAAAGTGCTTGAGGGTCATACCAAAATATCGCTGTCAGAAGTGAGGGAAGGCGCCAACAGCCAAGGAAGTGGGGAAAATCCTAAGCCGATCAAACGAATGGATGATCAAGGGTGGAGATTTTGGAGGGAACAGAAAAAATGCCTCCACTAGGGCTACCTAGGGAGGAGTCGGGTAAAGGGTATGTGGAGAGGCGTGAGGGGGTTGGGCATGAGTGGAGGGATGTTGAATTTGAAAGAAGAGGGGTTGAATTTGAAAAACGATGACTTGATTATGATCAAAGAGGTGTCGAATTCGAAAGGAAAGGGGTTGAATATGATCGAAGGTGTGCTGAATTTGAAGGGAAAAGGTGGGCTTGTGATGAAAGGTTTGGGTGTGAGAGAATGAGAGATGATTGGCACAATTAGGGAACCACCCACTAGGGGAATGGAAAATTTTGGAGGAAGCAAGGTTGACGGAAGAGATCTAAGAGTGAGGAAATTGAAGATGCCTATTTTTGAGGGAGATGATGCACATGGGTGGATCTACAGGGTGGAAATGTACTTTATTGTCAACAAGTTGACATAGGAGGAGAGACTGACGGCAGATGGCCTATGTTTGGTAGGGAAGGATTTGGATTGGTAATAGTGGAGGGACATGCGACGACCCATACGGAGTTGGAGGGAGTTCAAGGATTGTTTGCTAAAATGATTCTGAACCGGCAGGGGAGGAGACTTCTACGAGTAGTTCTTCGCCTTAACACAAGTTGAATTAGTGATAGAGTACCGGGAGATGATCAAGTACCTTGCTAGCCGATTGGACCGTCTTTCTAAGACCGTGCTAGAGGGGAACTTCATGAAAGGACTGAAACCAAAAATCTGGGCGACAGTTAAAGTGATGACGCCTGGTGACTTCGGAGAGGCTATGGAGCTAGCATCAATTGGTTGAGGATCAGAGGAACCTGGAGAGAGAAATGAGAGGCAGCAGCCCAGTAGGCTCGTACAAGAGACCATCACCTTATTGGCATCCAAGGAGCCAACACTTGATACTCTTCAAAGGAAAAGACTGCAAAAGAAAGACCTGGGGACAACCATCAAGAAGCTCACAGAAACAGAATTACAAGAGAAGAGGGGGCGAGGGGTTACCCCTTGCTTTGGTTTGGGTGTTTTACACTCGATTTTTTTTTCGGAAATAACACCCCAGTGGTCTGTACCTGAGCGCCCCTGCGCTGAACGACAGAGAGCAGAACGCCATAGCGAAATAAATATGGAGCTGCAATGGATCAAGAAAAAAGTTCAACCGCCGCAGCGCTTCAACCTGACGCCACAACGCTGCGAGACAGATTGGACAGTTTTCTTTCTCATTTTTACTGAAAGGTTACGTCCCTCAGGTTATTTACTTGGTTATCTCTTATATTTTGAGTGTTGGATATTGGAGAATGGTGCATGAGATAAGAAAAGCAAGAAGAAAGTGAGAGAGATGAGAAATCTATACTTATTTCTCCTAATTTTCAGTGGATTTCTTGGTGTAATGTTGTTTTGCGATTTTTTTCCCTTATGTTCGATTTTTTCTACATTAAATCCTAGTATCTTTTATATTTATGCTGCTTTTACTTTCCTGCTTGTTTCATCATTTAGGTGTTTATTACTCCTCATCCTAATGATGTACATAAGAGATGAAAATATAATTCATTTTGTTCCCCGGCAACAGTGCCAAAAACTTGATGAGGAGTTACTTTGGAGTATAATTTTGAATTATAAAAATGTTTAAGGCTATATCTCCCCTATACAATGCTTAGATTTTCTTTGATATAGAAAAATAACAAACTCCACTTAATATACCCTAGTATACATGTCAAATCAAGTAATAAAGTGATATAGTAAAATGTCGAATCCAAGAGGAAATATGATTTTCAACAAACTACTTTTGTTTACTCTAATTGCAAAATTATCCTACTTAAATAAAATTGTTGGATGTGAAGATTCAATCATTGAATAAAAATAATAAAATAATGGATACAATATTTAAATAAAGTGTTTTAGACTAATGAATGTAAATTGCATATTTTTCCTAATGAAATTCTTATTTTTAATGTGAGTCGGAGCATATGCATTCCTTGATCTTTGTCGAGTTTGTAAGGGTGAAAAGGATATCAGCTAACCTCCTACAGTTATATCATGTCCTTAAGAACATAATATATTATACATCCTATGTCGAAGTATGCAAATATATTATTTTAATATTCCTTGTTGTTTTTACACTCCTCCGTTGAAGCTATAGATCATACTAGGCTTTAACTATATATATGGTCATTATGTACATTCAATAAAGAGCAGAATAATATTGAAAATATCATGTAACTTTAGAGCACAAGAATTTTCATTAGTACTTAATATGTTCTACACGTCATCAATCTAAAACTAAAGAATTAGTCAGACATAGAAGAAAAGATAAGCAAACTATTTTTTATTGAAATCATTGAAGAATGAAAATACAAGAGAATGATACACCATGAATGATTAATATATCTCCTTCACACTCATTCCTTAACATACGGAGTTACTTAAACAAACTCTGACTAAACACTCAAATAATTGTATATAGTACTTCTCTAATCTCTCTTAGATTTGATTCTAAGAGAGATCTAAAAAATTACTCTAAAAAGTAATGAAATTATACAAGTAATTGAACTCTCTCACAAACATAATACAATGACTATTTATAGGAAAACACAAACTAAGTAATTGGCACAGCGGCGCTTGAAAGATCAGTGCTGCTGCGCCAAGAAAATGAACTAACGCCGTTGCGCTACTGTTTTAGCTCCGTCGTGGCGCTTGCTGATGTTTATGATGCACTGACACTCTGTCTAAAGAAGAAATGCAATGTCG